TAAAATGTACAAAAATGTCTTGCTTATGCTCTGCACCTATGACTGAAGGGGCGTAATTGGTAATATAATTTTTAATGCAATGCAGTAGGCGTAATTTGTCCAAATGGTATGCAGCATGATGAAAGACATTTAATTGTGTTCGCTTCAAGGATAAATAAGGTAAATTAGTTATCTTTGAGAAAATTTTTACTGAAGGTTACGTATTTTCAAATATATGGCATAAAATAGCTTATCTACGGCCAACTTAAAAGCCAGTACCGTAAAACCATGAAACAGGATTCAGCGGTAGTAAGCTCTCAAGAATTTTTCTCTGTAGTACTAACTCATATTACTGATGATTTGCAGGTTCATGAGTCAAGCCTATGTAGGACTATCGACTCGTACAATGACACGCTATTATATTTTTGATAACAGCATGTTTTTTTCTATTGTCATTCTCTTCGGAAAATAGATTTGTCATTCTAACCCCGATTTGACGAAGCATGACATACACACATGATCAAAGAAAAGGCTACAAAGTACAGCAACTCAAGATGCATCGTAGTGCTCTGATAATTGGCGGGGTCCCGGAGCAGGTGACCAACATCATTGTTTGGCTTGTTTGCTGCACTTTTGCCACGACCCGTTTGCTATTGCTGTTATAGAATCATAGCCTGTCCGATATATGGTCACTTTCTTATTGGCGAATAGCGTTTGTACAACCCACTTGTGTTAAATATCCTTTTCCTCAGCGACTGCTGAAGATTGTTTGCCATGTGGAATGGTAAATGCACAGAACTTTCGTATTATTTTACAAAACAAATCCACTGTTAGTACAAGTTTTTACGTACCGCCAAGGATTGAATATTCATTGAGTGCACTTACCGGAGTTTGTTTTTGAGTGTTAATTATCATATTGAAGAATAGCACAAAACAGCATTACTGCACATCAGATACAGACACTCGATCTATCAGAAAAAGATCGATACATGTTTCAGATTGAATCTGTGTATGTTACCTCGACGACAGTCTGCCCCAAAGTGAAGAAACAAAAGTCCTCGACATTTCCAATACCCAGTTCCCGCAACTTAACTGTTGAAAACGGGGTAATTCCAGTGTGCCATTTCTTGATAATTAACTGCGGTACCACTGTGTACCTAATATTTATATAAATCACAAAAATTGGAAGGTAGTTACAGCTTTAATATATACCGCTCTGAACTATATCATAATGAATTTTTTAGAAGAAAAGTTTAAACTGACAATAACTAACCAGTTAAATCTGTAGCAATGAACAATCGAATATAATCCCTTATGATATAATATCAGTTAGGTCAAAAATTATAGAGTGAAATCTTACAAAAGGTTACTAAGCTAAATATCTGCGTGATATGCAAGTGTTATTACTTAACGAGTAATTCTGAGAAATAACAGCTCTACGCTGGACTTATAAATTACAATCTGAGATGTACTGGAGAAACAAGGAATACCGTAACTGAAAGAACAAAAACGCACCTTCTAACTAGAGTTCACAGTTGATCACGGACGTATGCAAACGGCTCGTTCAAAAGAATCA